CCCATGAATGAGGAGAGCAGAAGGCTGGACGCTGGTCACACGGCGCGAGATCGGGAAGCTGAGGCGAGCTGCTGCCCTACAGGTCACCAAGGGATGGTGCCTCTCGATGGCTCCATGACAGCTGCCGTCCTTACGGCCAGATACCCCTACTGTCTATCCTAAGTGGGTATGAGGGGCCAAACGCTTCAGTTCATATCCCACCATGTCTGCAGGAAACGTGCCACCTGTTCCCAAGGTACATAAGGTTCCCCATTGCCGGGATAACCATACATCTTCTTTTTCCCCAGAATTGTCTTTTCTTGGGACCTAAAAATGCATTTGCCCAAAATGCCTGGGATTTTGCTTTGCTCCATACTGACATTTGCTTCCTACACACAGAATATGTCAGTGCATATCGGCGTCGCTCCGCCTTGTGCCTCTTTATGGTCACGCTAGCCATCGCGCGGACGGCAGGGTCCCAGACACACGTCTCTGCTAATGCCCAGTGAGGTAGACTGACACCAAGAGCTGCTGCCACCAAGTGATCAGAAGCAGAAAGATAAACAGAGAATTGTTGGGGGGGGGTGCAACAAAAACACAAGATGACAGTAACCAAGGTGCCAAAGCTTGATGACAGTCCCCCACGCTCCTTAATAATTGGCTCCTCTTCCCACCCAGTTCTCCATTAGCACCATGCTGTGGACTCCCCATGCCATGTGTCACAACAAGTCTGAGTGGTATCATATTGCACGCATCTTAAGAAAGGCCGACACCATTAGCATAGCATTTGCCTAATTAACTAATCTGACGCGGTTGCGTCCATGCTAACATGGTTAGCCTCTGCCGATGCATCTATGGGACAAATTTTAAACTGGCCGACAATGATCCCCCTTCCCCATTCCAATGTAAGTGTCTTCCAGGCCTGTTTGGTTATACATCATCTTTTCTGAAAGTGGGTATTTCATCCTGCCTCGACCCTTCAACGTTCAGTAACTCTTAGATTTAGCTCTGGTGCCCTGCTGCAAATCAGTTGCTTGGTTCCTTTGAAACACAGTCGCTTTCATGGAAATCATTCGCTGGTGCGGAAGTTAATCTGACCGAGCAGCCCGGCCCAAACAACCCTGCTGATTGGTATCTGTCGCCTAAACGGATCGATACAAAGGGTAATGAACAGCTAGTAAAGCAGCCTGATGGCCCATTTTGCAAGTGAATGTGGCCACGGCTTACCCACCCCCAAGTCGTTACACTAAACCATCAAGCGTGTTTGAATTCGTTACCATCTGAAAGGGACTATTAATTGACTGCATAGCTAAAATTCAATTATATCACCAGGAAACAATCTGACAAACTAAATAATGATCAATTATGCAAAGTCTCGCCTTGACACTCTCCTAAGTGTATTCTCTGCAGTGTGTGAATGCTAGTTAGGTTGAGGAAGCGGCCATCTTTGCAAAGCCACTGAAGAAACCTTCCACCAGGAGAAAGGTGAATTATAATTGGCCCGGTTTGGCAGAGAGATTGTTACGAGCGCACTCATTGGCCACGGTGAGCAACGGCCGGGGGCTATGGCGCTGTTCGTGTCGAGTGACAGATAGGAGGATGAGGAAAATATGCTTTAAAACAAGGGGGGATATTTCAACAAAAAAAAAGCATGCAATCGCCAATAAGAGTGCCTTCTGGTTCTCATCCAATCACACTTTCAGAAAAACCAAAATTTCACGTGTATCAGACTGGCCTCTATCTCGCACCACAACAGGCACACCCCCGCCTCCAGTCGCCCCCCCATCCCCCCACTACCACACTCTGCCCAAACGATGCATTTTATCTTAAGAGTTTCAGACAATGCCTGAAGGGTCTCTCGCACCTAATCTTCCCAAAAATCCCCTTTCATCCAACTGTTAAAGAATGTCTGAATGGTTGACAGAGTCGAAAAGAAACCTCGGCACATCTGGCAGGGATGAGGGGTGGGAGGGGGGTTGGGTGGGATGCTGGGTGGTGCAGATATTTAAGTTAACTAATCTTACTTCCCAAACATCCAACCAGATTGTGCTTCATTTAACATGCTCATCACCCCTCCCCTTGATAAATTGAACGTATATCACACAATGGTGAAAATTTGGGGGAAAAAATGCAGAAAAATAAAATTACAATTACGTTAGCCTGCAGTGTCCCCAGGACAGGGCATCCCCTTCCTAAGCCGCCACGTTAGCCTGCAGTGTCCCCAGGACAGGGCATCCCCTTCCTAAGCCGCCACGTTAGCCTGCAGTGTCCCCAGGACAGGGCATCCCCTTCC